TTGGCAGGGAATGTTTGTTGGTCTGGCTGGGCACTGAGCACCCCTTGGCTTCTCTCTGTTCCTGCTGCACTTTGTGTCATCATCCTTGCCCAGGCCAGACATCTTCTGTGGGTGTTCTCCGTTCAAAGAAAGGACAGAGACAGTTTCTCCCAGGAAAATCTTAGAGGAAAAGAATTAAAACAATTACTATCTCTCTTTCTGTGTCCATTGTTTATAGCTGTGGTTCTCCAGAGTGTGCTGTTCATGGCTCTCCAATAGTGTGAGAGGTTTTCTCTTTGAGACCAATCAGGTCCCAATTTAGTGAGTGAGACATAAAGCTCACAACTTCTTGCTAATAAATTATTACTCTGTTCTGGAGGGAATGCTGGGTTTTGGACTGGGTTTTGGAATGCTCCAAGGCAGGCCCAGGTACCTGTGCATCTGTGCTGCCACTGAACTGAGAGCAGGATTAGCTCCACTCCCAAAGGGGAGCTAAAATGCTCAAAAAAATGAACTTCAGGTAGTAGACTAAATTCAACAGAATTCCATCAGACAGTGATAAAAATTGTGCTTCTCTCTTACTGTGGCTCTGTAGCCTCGTCCCTTTCCTGGAAACAAACCACTCCTTTCACAGAGTGAAAACTTTTGGGCTATTGAGCAAGTCAGTCAGTGCAGCTGTATTTAAGCATCATATACAGGAGTAGAGGGACAGTGACATGCTTGTTAGCACACCAAAAATAAGATTTGAAAGCCTCTTAATGTTAATTTACTGGGATGATTTGCTTTCCAGTAGTGCACAGGCCGAATCTGCTGATTCAGACAGGTGCCTCTTGGCCAGTGTTTAGTTGATGATTCCTCTTCTTGCCATCTCAGTCCTTCTCTTGGCGCCCTCCCTGTAATCCCCTTCTGCAGCAGCATGTAACGCTCCTCATGGTGTGTCTGGAACAAACGTGTCAAACACCACTGAGCTCCTGTTCACAAACAGCCTGTTAGCAAGTCCTGCAGATGAAGGAATCCATCCTGTGCTGTGGCTTTGTGTGCCACAGGACACTGCAGATGGGTGCTGGGGAGGGCTCTCAGCTCAGGTGCGCTTGGGAGAAGGAAAGGGAGAGGCAATTTGGTTCTTCTCAAAGGTTAGGTGAATTAGGAGGTGTTAGGAATACTCAGCATGTGTGGGCTTTCTGGAAATGCAGAGCACTGTAATACACTGTAGTTCACAGCTGTCCTGATGTGCATCCAGAACCTGTCACGATATAGCTCAGATTTTGCATGTAAGAAAACATGATTTTGGGGAATCTGAGAGGAGAGGAGCAGAGTAGGGATCAGGAATGGCAGTTCCTGTGTGCAGGCCTCCTTTCCCTGTTTCAAGCTGCACATCATATGTGCGAGCATTAAAAGTTTAACTGACTTTCCAGAGAATGCCTGCCTTGCAGACAAGAGACAGTGTTTATTTCTTCTCTTAGTTTGAGAGCATCATCTTCCCAGTCAGCTCTAAAAAAAGCTGAACAAAGGATGACTTTGTTCCTGTGTAACTCGTGAAACCTCTACTGTCGTAACCTTTTAAGCAGTTATTTTTATTTAAGATGTGTAAATTTCAAATCTTTTTTTAATGGGGTACATAAATGACATAATAAATGTTTCTTTCCAAGACATGGTGCATAAGGTATTTCACAAGCAGTTACTGAAATGTGATAGGCTGAGTATATGAATAGCATATTTTATGTAAGTACAAGATGTTAACATGGTATATAATAGAATTAAACAAGCTGTAATCTGATCTAGGTCTTTGGCTCCGTAAAGCTGTAGGGGTGGGGAAGCTATTGTCTTTCAGAATTGAAGTTCTTTTTAAGGATTAAGAGAAGGATGATGATTTGCTGATCCTGTGTCAAAATTGTGTTGAAGTGTCTTATGTAAAAATTGCAGTTCAGATCAAGAGAGGTTTGAGACTAAGTTAGGATATCAATTTAATATGATTGCTTGGGGGTTTTTAAAGGAAAAAAAAATCTATATAATATTGTTTTGAATAGTTAACATACAGAATTTCAACAGGGGAAGCACTGATTAGATCACCACAATCTATTTTATGCCATCAGGATTGCTGAGGGGGCTTATAATTGTGTTAAATTTTCATATTACTCATATCCACACGTTAACGAACAGATGCATTGTTACTATTGGGATTTTGCCATTTGGCCTTTCACATCCCCAATCGCGGTTTCCTGCTGCGATCTTCGCCGTTCTCGCAGCAACTCAGTCATTGATACGCGGCCGTTCTCGGCGTTTATTGCGGGCATCGCTCGCTGTGCCGGGCTGGGGCGGGAGCGCTGCGGAGCTCCGGGTGCCCCGGGGAGGGACACGGGCACCGATACCGGCCGGGCACGGGAGCCGGGGTATCGGGCACGCAGGGATGCCCGCAAACTGGGGTTAGGGTAGGCATGGATGCCGGCAAACTGGGATTCAGGCAGGGAGAGATGCTGGCAAATAGGGGTTCGGGGAAACTGGGATGCTGGCAGGCAGGGATGCCGGCAAACGGGTTAGGGCAAGGACGGATGCCGGCAAACTGAGATTCGGGCAGGGAGGGATGCTGGCAGACTGGGATTCGGGCAAGCCGGAGTGCTGGCAGAGTAGAGTTCAGGCAGGCAGGGATGCCGGCAGGCAGGGGTTCGGGCAGGCAGGGATGCCGGCGAACTGGGGTTCGGGCAGGCAGGGATGCCGGCAAACAGGGGTTCGGGCAGGCAGGGATGGCAGCGGGCAGCGCAGCGGGGCTCCGGCAGCCGCGGCTCCGGAGCGGCTCCTGCAGCTTTAAGGCTCTCAGCACGAGTTCGGAGCTGCCTTGCGCTTCTCCCCGGGCGGAGCGCGGCGTGTGCTGTCCGGCCGCGGGGAAAGCTCTGCCCGGGACTCGGCTGACAATGGGCTCCAAAGTGAGGCGGGCCGCTCTCGGTGCCGGCAGGCTCCGGAGCCCATTGTCAGCCCTCAGTAGAGCCCTGTTGCCGCATTCCTGCTTTGCAAAGGTTTGTTGGCTTTCGCTGACTGACGGCGCTCCGCCGCAAACGCCGCGCTTGCTCCGGCCCGTTTACACGCCGCTCCGGAGCTTGCAGAAAAGCACGGAGCGATGATAATTAAATATATGTATGTTACAGACAGAAACAAGGGAAAGGGGCAGTGTGTGTGTGAGCTGTTCGCGCTGTGGGCAGTGGTTTCCGTCGAGGGGACGGACGGAGCTGGGCAGGGGCCGGAGCCCGGCGGCGCCCCCGGCTCGGCGGCCGCGCTCGGGGCGGGCTCGGGGGGCAGAGACACGATCGGGGATGGATTCCAACGGAGAGATGTCCCCGGATCAGCCCGGGGAACCCCCGAACGCCGCGGGCACAGCAGGAGCAGCTCGGGGCGCTGCCAGGCGAACAGACCCGGAGCGCACCCAGCGCCTCCTGTGCGCTCATCCATCCGGAGCTTGTCGCTGCTCTCCCGCCCGGCTGTCTGTCTGTCCGTCCGTCCCTCTGCCTGATGGATGGGAGATGCAGGAGAGCATCCCTGGCACGGGCATTCCCTGGGCATCGGGGCTGACCCGGCTGTCTGTCTGTCCGTCCGTCCGTCCCTCTGCCTGCCTGATGGATGGGAGATGCAGGAGGGCATCCCTGGCGCGGTGTTGCCCTGGGCACCGAGGGATGCAGGAGGGCATCCCTGGCGCGGTGTTGCCCTGGGCACCGTGTCTCGCCCCCCGGCAGAGCCGCCCCGAGCTGCGGCGGGGGACGAGAGGTGCAATTAGCCCAAGGAGCTAATGAAGGTGGCTCGCCGTGGTTTTTACTGCGGGGAAAGTTAACCAGTCGCTAATAATGGCGCGGTCTCTAGGCCAGACGGTGCCTTTGATAAGTTAACGTGCGCTCCCTTTATGCTCCTGGTAGGGGGTAAACAAATGCCTGAACAAATACAAATACACATAAACACCAGCGCGAGAATAGCGGTATATGTCTTAGATCCAGATAATAAGGGTGGGTATTGTTATTTAGATGGCACATACTGGGACACTTATCTTTTAGTACACTCCATTTTCTAACTGAATGCAGTGCTAATCGTGGGATTGAAAGCTATTGTAATTGTGTACCCATCTAAATGCTGACAAGAATATACAATTACATTGTTTGGAATTGAGTTTAATGTTCTCTGAATTTTATTAGCATTTATATTTACTTATGCATTAAAATTCTGCACAAAAAGAGGTCAGAACACAAGAGCTGCAGACATAAATATCAGACCAATCCACACCCTCGCTGTATTTTTCCTGAAAATACCGAACAAATATATTTTATTTTATTTTTAAAGGAAGCGATAGAATCTGAAATGAGCAAATAATGGGTTTCCATTCTAAGCGATGCCTCTTCTCCCTCTGGATTTTGCAGTCTTTTAAAGCTTTTTTTTTTCCATACCCAACTTTTTATTATTATTTATAATGCGCGTGTTACCGGAAAATCTTTCCACAGTGTGCTTACCACCACACGATGTTTAAACACACATTATAAAGTGGATGTAATTGTAAAGACTCAGAGGGATATAATTACATGTAGCAGATTTAGGAGCTAATTCTTTGCTTCTCTCTCTCTTTCTCTCTCTCGCTGTCTTTACTCCGCATTTTATCAACATAATTATTTTTTGACTGCAGACTAACACCCAGAAACTGACAGGCATCCATTATAGGCAGCAACTTGTTCACCAAATTGAAAAACAATGAACTGCAGGTTTATATGTGCCCATTGTAATACAGAATTACCGGAGCTTTGTTCCACTAGAGGAAAAAGCTAATGGTTTTGAAACAGCAGGTGACAAAACACATTCAGTTTTTTAGTTTTTTGTTCCCTTTTTTTTTTTTTCTCTTCCCTCCCCTCTTATCAGTTTGTTGATGAAGTCATTACGAACTGGGGGCCCAGAATAGGGTTGGCCTTATTTTTAGCAGATAGACTTTTAATGAGTTCTATTGTGGAGACAGTCATGTTGATTTGCTTACGTTTCTTTTCCCCCCCTTCACTCAGAAACTCCCAGTATTGAAAAGCTACTATCAAAGGACTGGAAAGACAAGCTTCTTGCCATGGGATCAGGGAACTTTGGAGAAATAAAAGGTAACAACGCTGTTTCTCTGCTAAAGGAAATTGAGAATGAATGTGCAGATACCGCTGGCTTTGTGGAACTTTGTCTGCTCCTCTTCCCCTCCCCTTCAAACACGGTAATTCGGGGTTTAAATGAAATGTGTGCACTCCCATCTGTGATCATATAAATCAATGGAATGCTCTGTTGCCCTAAGTGAATGAATTTACATTAAGCTGTTGTTGCCTGTATCGTTCTCTGTTATAAACGAGCCCATCCTATTGCTGGATAGGGGGAACAAAAAGTCAGTACCAGACATATGTGGTACCAGAGTATAGCAGAGCTCAGTTTCTGAAATTTGGGGGTGATCCGATTTCCTTGTTTATTTTTGGACAGATTTCGATGATGTAGGGTTTTTTAAATTTTTTTTTCTTTTTTTACTTTTTTTGCACGTAGGGAAGAATAAAAAGAGCGAAGTTTGTGTAATGGTACCTCTAGGTACTGAAATTAGCCAGTGCAGATTTTAAAAGACAGCGTACAACATCTGTGCACTAGAGCATGTTCTTTTAAAGCCGTACTCCAGAAGGAAAATGACAAAATTTGACCACTCTCCAGCAGCAGTAGTTTCTGCTTTGCCAAGATATTTCCCCATTTTCTATATCCGAGGTCGTTTTAGGGAACCTGTGGTTGTTTGTTTTCGTGTAATTTAATATTTTTATAATTCCTCTGCAGTGCTGATGATGGGGAACTCACTCAAAACACACGTGTCAGAAATTGCAAGTTTTCAGAGCAGCCATTATCACTCTGCAAAGAAGCAGTGACTCTGATTCTTCTCCCGTTTATAGCAGTGTGCATCTGGAGTAGCAAAACCCAGGCCAACGCTGTTTTGGAAATGTGAAAGTAGAACGAAATTAAAATTAGGCCCTTCTCCTCCTGTGTTTATAAACAGGGCTTAGTTTCTGTCCATGACTTTGGGATGTTTGCTTGCTCATGTTGTCCCTGCTCTAGAGATGCTCTCTCAGGCAGGCTCCCAGACCTTGTGCTGGCAGCTCTAAGGGCCCTGTGCACAAGAGGTGTGCAATATCCAGTAAGGCACACAGTACAAGGTGCTCTCACAGGTTTATGGCTTGGTGCAGATGCAGAGAAAGTGTTGTTTTAATTCTTTGGGCCTTCCAGCCTGTCACTGATAAGCCACTAGCATTAGCCTGTGCTGTTCCACTGCCTTACCCAAACAGGAAAATATTCCCTTGTTTCCCCAGGCTTCTCCCTAGCAAGCTGTAATTCAAGATATATATTCATTGCATATGTGGGATAACTTTATATCATTACATCTGTGGGATAACTTTATAACAGAAGGCAGTGCTCCAGCCCCCAGCAGGCTGAGAGGTCGTTGTGATGATGATGATGGTGGTGATTATTATGGCTCCAGAGGGCCAAACCTTGGGTTATTCATTCCTCTTGCTCCATGTGTGTAAAGCAACAGGTCTCAAGGAGGAAGGGCAGCCCCTGGGCTTACCTGGCAGTTCTGGGTTTTAAAAGCACTTTGTTTCAAGATGAAATCACCCTTTGGCACGACCTGATGCATCTTTAGGACGTTTCGGGGGCAGAGTATGGGGAAGCATCTTTGATACCCACTTTTGGGCATGTGTTTCAGCAGATCTGGCACAGTGTGAGGAGCCTCTTTAATTCCTGACACACCGGAGCCTTTAGAAGGACTCCCAGTGATTTTCCAGTGCCCGTGCACGCTGTGGAGCTGCTCTGAAGAGTGCTGTGCACTGAGAAGGTGGTCTGTTCCCGCTGCCTGTGATCTTTTTCTTTTGGAGGGCAATCTTTTTTCTCCCTTCCCCTTTTTCCCTTTCACAAGCTAAACTTGAAAGCAGCAGCAGCCAGCTATATGCTCCCACCAGAGAAATTCAACAGTCCTTTCAGTCGTGCCTGGGGGAAAGGATGGGGAGCAGCAGCACAGCCTCAAAGAAGACTTTTCTTTGCTTTAATTTTTGGTTTTTAGCTTTATATTTTGAACACAAGTCGAGTTATTGTTCCGCAGCTCTGTTCAAAAGGCTCACATCTGAGGCTTTTTAGTGTGACTGTGGTTCTGTGGTTGGGGGTATGGTTATTAGGTGTTTGGATCAAGTTTGGCAGTAAGCTGTGAAAACAGGCACTGGTTTATTTTTCCTACTGACTGCCGTGACAGTTGCAATTATTGTCCATTGTTCCTAGGTGGCTGGAAAGGAGGGAGGACACAATGGAGCATTGCCCTCTGGGGGTAAATGAATTTGACTTCCAGATTCTTGGGGGGTCAGGCAGGCTGATTATTTAGTGCCCAGGAATGTGGTTTTCATGGCACCATCAGCCCCGAGCAGCCCGCAAACAATGGCTCAGCTGTGCTGCAGCTATATTCAGTGGGGCAGCAGGAAAGGTGTGCCAGTGGAGCTGCTCTGTACCCACACACACGCGTACAAACACACGTATGTTATGCTGCAAAATGGTTTTGTCGTTCTGCAGTTACGGAGTTTTCCAGTTGTGATTTTTTAATTAACTTCTTTCCCTGGGCTTGGCCCGGCAGCTGCGCTTTTTCCGCCCCCCATTTCTCTGTTAGTGATATTTGGAAACCCCCATTTAAGCACTGTCTTGTGTTTAATACACCCTGGAACGTGGACAGCGCTAGGAGCTGTGCTGCCCAACTGTCTTATACGCTGAACAGTTTTTTCCATTTAACTGTTCAAAATTTCATTGTGTTTTTCATTAGGTCTGGGGGAGTTTTAGTACATCGTGTGCAAAAAGGCTCAGCACCAGGCTACATATTGTTAATGCCCAAGTCTGTGTTATTGCCATTGGGTTTTATTATCTGGGAGAGATTAAAGAAAGGGAGATGAAGAGGAAGACTTTATTTTCTATTAGCGTGATTTCCTTTAAGCTGGAGAGGAGTGATATTTTATTAAAGACAGGGAAATTGGTGAGAGGCTGCAAGTGGCCAGGCTCCCATGTTCTTCTTCAGTTGTTTCTCTTGGTTGCTTTGTCACCTTTGGCTGCTGTTTGAACCCCCCTTTCTCCATCTGCACCCCCATAAAGCAGGAGAGCCATCTCTGAGTGCCTGCAGAGGCAGCTGCAGATTGAGGATCACACTTAGAAGGGTCTATATCCATCACGTTGCTAATTGAAAGGGAAATGGGTTGTTTTATTCCACAGCTGGACCCAAAGGTACTGCCAGGGAATGCTCTTAAAATGGGGCAAAGCCTAGAACTTTTTATGTCTGTAGAAACTGTAACTCAAATACCTGTGCTTGTTCAGAGACACAGTCTGGGGCTGAGGCTGAATTACAATTTTAACACTAGAGGTTTCCTACGAAATTCTGTTTTGATATCTATGGAATTTTTACTGTGCTCAAAACAAGTTGCTGTATAGCAAAACCTCCAAAAGTGCTGTTTAATTGAAGTGTTTAAAGTGAAGCTGTAAAACTGTATATTGACTTGGTTAAAGCCTGTTCAAACTTACTTACATCCATCCCATTCAAAAGCAGGGCTCTAGGTTATTCTTGGATAATGCATTTTATTGGATTCAGTGGAGCAGAGAGATTGTCAGGTCTCAAAGTGCAGAGAAAGGAAAATCATGCCCTTTTCTGCTGTCAGTGTAACTGCCTTGTTAGCTGTGCCCTGCAGTGGGAGAGGAGCTGCTGTCCTCCAGTGTCACTAGGAAAAGGTGTCAAAAATACATTTATTCCCTAATTATCAGTGATCATTCCTATATAAAAAAATTAACTTATTAATTCTAAAATGAAGCTTCTCTTTCAGTGGTGCTGGGCCTCAGGTGCATCGTGGGTTGCCCAGCCTTGCTCAGCTTTAACCACAATGAGAACTCCTCTTAAAACTCCCTTGGTGTGCACAAAGCCTTGCTGCTAATCTCGTCCATCTCTCTACTGAAACTTGGCAAGACACAGCGAGGCATATTTTTTATGTTCCCCACTTAGCTAATTTTGAATAGGTGCGTGGAACAAAAGGTCGAACAGACTTCTGTTTCCAATCTCCCTGAGCTGCTTTTCTCTTGAAGGCATTGTCAACAGAGATTGTGCCTCAAGGAAGAGGGGGCAGGTCTGAACCTGACGTAATTTTGTTGTTGTTTGAGAGACCTTTTGTATTGTGCAGGCTAGTTTGTAAACAGCTCAGGTGAAGTTCTCTGCAGTCCCTGTGAAAGGGATTGGGTTGAAATCAGCTCTTCATTGTGCCCATGGAAATGTGGGTGACTCTGGAGGCTGTGCTGGAGTAAACTCAGATTTATGGAGAGTGAGATCAGCCTGCCTGCCCTGCTCTGCAGCTCAGCACAGCACAGAGGTTTGTTTTGTGTGAGGAGCTGGGTTCCAGATCTCAGGGTGACTCTGGAGTAAACTCAGATTTATGGAAAGTGAGATTAGCCTACCAGCCATGCTCAGCCGCTCACCTTAATCTGGGTGACTCTGGTGGCTATTCTGGAGTGAGCACAGATTTATAAAAAGTGGGATTTGCCTCCCAGCCCTGCTCTGCAGCTCAGCACAGCACAGAGGTCTGTTCTGTATGGGGAGCTGGTTCCAGGTCCCAGGAGTGCCAGTGCAGGTGGTTTGATGTGAGATGGAGCTGTGCTTGCTGCAGACCCTGCTCGTGCCCCTGTGCTCAGGGGATGGGGCAGCAGAGTCGGCACTGAGGGGTTTAGGGCTGCCAATAATGGCTAAAGAGAAATAATCCATTCAGCGATACTATAGCTCGTCAGAGCCCCTGAATTAAAGACATATGTTATGTAGATTCAATGTATGGATTAAAAGGGATAATCTGGTAGGTGACACACAGAATCTTGAGATAAGTGAGCTGTGCAGATTCCTGTATGGATTGTGAGGGATAATTCCAGTTAAGTAATGCTGCACAAGTTGAAGGCAAGTAAGCTCTGGGTAGTGCTCAGGTTATGTGCAGTAATCCAGTGAGTGACACTTTGGATCACATAATCTGTAAACTAAAGACAAGAAATTCTGCATTTACATGTGGACAGGAAGAAGGAGGGGGGAAGGGGA